ACTCTAAAAAAATCAGATTAAAAAATAGCATTATACAGTTATGAGGTTGAGAAAATCAATTAAAGACTTTTAGCAAAGGATTTATGGTAATAATTCTGCTTCGGATTGTTGAATGATCGTTGAAACGATACATTTTTTTCATCTAAAACTCAATTTTCAAGTAAACATTTGTTCAAATTAGATTAATTTGGTAGATAGTAGATGAAGAAGAAACTGAGAAAATGCTAAATTGAGATGGAAACTCAAATTAGTTCATTAGGAGTTTTGTGATATTTTTACTAAAATTTAGCTTATAAAGTTTATCTTGAGAAAAAATCCGACATAAAAAATTCTCAAAGATTTATTTTTTGCGTAATTCATTAGAAAAGCTTGTTATCATTTGATATATTAGGTACTTAATCTAAAAAAAACTCAGTGGTTTTCATGATAATTTTTTGAAAAAAACCCAATCCGACCTCTTTTGGAAGATGATACATAAAGCATAAATCAAAAACTTGCTTTCAAGATCTACATTTCATTATTGTTACTATAGAGTTTTTGCCTAATAAAAATCGGAAAATTATACAATTGTTCCAGTTTGCGACTTGATTTCCTTTGCTTAATCAAATTTTTGAGACGCGCGCTTCTAGAAGTTTAAAGGTATTGTAGATGTTGGGAACTAGGTTCTCTTGCGTATTTCCGAAGGTTTTCAGATTATAACTAATAGAGCTGCTCTTCATTTGATCTTAAATCGTAAAATTACATCTTTATATTCTCATTTTTAACATATATTTTTGAATGCTTTAGGTAGCACCAATTCTTTCTCACTTGGATATTCTTGAGAAAACTTCCGTCCTAAATTAAGAATAAAAAGCGATTTAATAACTCTTTTTTCAAGAAAATCTATAGTTATTGATCCCAAAAATTGTAATTTTGCCTAAATAATTTACGGTGGCAACTGAACAAGGGAACCTCGGGGAAGACTTTTACAATTTTTATCTTAATAATTAGACGGTATCTGTTCTAATTTCATCTCTGCCAGCAAATTTTTCGTTCAATTAATACTATTTTCCTCCTAAATTCTCCAGTTCTGACTAAATTTTCTCGTAAAGTGTGTTCAAAAGCGAAAACATGTATTAAACAGAAACCAAGAATAACCTTAAAACAGAGAAAAATTCTATGAAAAATCATGAAAATTATGTTGCAGAAGCAACAGAGAGATAATCATCAGTTATGAAAAAGATTTTGTTGAAATTGAGGCAATATCGAATAAATGTTTTAGAAAAATTTTTCTCAACTTTAGTAAATTTTAGTAGTTAACTAATCATTTTTTATCAATGATCTAAAATTTGTAATTATTAACATGAAAATTTGGGTAATTCATTGAGAAAAAATTGAGGAGGAGTTGAATCATGGAGTTTGACCTAGACATTTCATGGAATACTGCTCTTAATGATCGTTTGAATTGAGATTCCGATTAAAATTTTCCCTGAACTGGACAAAAAAACAGTTAATTACCAAAATAAAAGGTTCAAAATGGAAAATTTTTGGTAAATTTGATTAATTTTTACTTTACCTTCTCGAAAATTACGATTAATTTCACTGTTTTCCGAAAATTTCAATATTGATTCTGCTACTATGAGCTTTCTTTTTGGTGTTTCGAGCATTATATAACCCGCTTTTTAGCTCAATTTAAGGTAAACTTTATCGTATTTCAATATTTTGAGGAAAAATAGTGGAAAAATTCATTTTTTTATTCAAAATTTTGTATCATTGTCTCAACAGGATGCCAATTAAAATACAGTCTGAGCTCAATCCTAATATCTAATCGTAAAATATGTTTGAAATTAGATCAGAAGCAGCAATATTTTAACCAAAATTATGGGATTTCTGCAATTTTTTTCCAAAAACTTGAAAGTTTTGCAATTTTTACCAAATACTTGAAGTTTTTGCATTTTTTTCCAAATACTTAAAATGTTTGCATTTTTTTCTCAAAAATTTGACTTTTTTCGAAGTTTCAGTAGGTTTTAGTTTTCCTTCAAGTAGATAGAAAGAAGATTATCCAATAAATTAGGTGGAATTAAAGCTGATCTTATTGTGTTTTGAAGTTTTTCGAAAATTTTTCAATTTTTTCGATAAAACTTCTAAGTTTCTACCCAAAAACACCTACCATTGACTTACCATGTTCCAAAAAACTAATTAAAAGTCGTTCATTACACAATCTACACGTAATTAACAATTAATTGTTCCCAATTAGATAACGCGCGCCAAGATTTTTGCGAAAAAATAGACATTTCTACACAGAAACCAAAAAATTTTTGTTTTTCTTACCATTATCTTACCATCACACAAACCATGAAAACTAACCATTGGTATTTCTTATCCTATTACTTTAAAGACTCTATATCGAATGTTAATACATAGCTGGTAGACCTGATGCTCTTTTCCCTATCTTATTACATGGGGGTCTACCACCTCCCCCCCACAGCCTCAACATCTACTACTCACAATCCTGATAATATTCAAAATCATTATAATAGTCACAATAAATATAGTAAGCAAAATCATAAAATTAGTATTAGTAATCAAAATCATAATAATCACAATCATAATCATAATAATAGCAATCAAAATAATCGTAACCATGATATTAATATTCATCATAATGATCATAAAGATCCTAGTCATAATAACAATATTCATACTAATGGTAATCATAATCATAACAAGACTGCTCGTATCAGGGCGAAGCCCTGAAAGTTCCGACTGCCTTTTAAGGTCTATGGAGCATTAATAAGATGAAAAATTTCAATGAAATAAAAAATATATAAAAAAAAATTTGGAAAAATTTGAGATTTTTTTTGAAAAGCATCCCCCCACACGTCATATTAAAAACAAAGTGATAGATTTTGCGCCTATTAACAAATCAATTATGGCATATAAGCTTCCTTGAACCAATTTGGAACGATTTCTAAGACGGATTAAATCTCGCTTACGCGTTAATAGCGCGAAATTTATCGCGCGTTAATTGTCCCAAATTGGCCAAAATGGCAATGTTTAAACCGCCATAACTTTACGAAAAATGATCACAGGTAAAATATCTTTTCAAATTCAAGCTGAGGACCACAATAGCTTTCGAATGATACAAAAAAATTCCGTCAAAAACGGCTTGTTAAAACGTCGAAATTTGTCTGAAGAAAAAAAACCCACCCCGAGCACAAATATGCCGTTACTTTCGTATCGAAAGTCGGAACAATAATCATAAAGTAATCAGAACTTTAAACATAATGATAATCATCAGAAATATTATACTAGTAATACGCCTTAAAAGCTTAATAAAATACATAGTCATCATAACAAAAATCATTAAAGTTTTCATTATGAAAATAATCAAAATAATCGTAAAAAAAATCAAATACCATCATAATAATAGTAATTTTAGAAATAATCATACCTATAATAAAAATCATAATAATCAAAAAAATAGTATTGCAATCATAATTATCATACTTACCATAATAATCATAATAATTATAATAACAAAAATCATAAATAAAATCAAACTAAACATAATAATCATAATAGTAAGCGTAATCAAAATAATCATAATAATAGTTCAAATTTAGAAAAAAATTAACACAGAGGCGAGGCTGCGCTCCGCAAAAATTCAAAAGAACACTACCAAAAAGCAGCTCTATCAAGTGAAATAAGAAAAAAAGAAAGAAGCCTCAAATTAGAATCAGCAAAAACGCGGATACGTGTAGGATTCGAATCTGCGACCTAGTGCAATCAAAAGATTTCGAGTCTCCTGCACTATCCCTGCGGCCACGAAAGTGAACAACCGACAAACACCAGTCACGAATAAAGCGGCTATATTTGCTCATAAATTGCCAAAACCATTCTGCAAAAGTGGCACTAAATACAAATAGACTCTATTTTGTAATTATAATTTAGATTATAACAAACTGAAGGCATTCACACTAACTTTGCGTGTAACAATCACAAAACATCAAAAACTTATTATGTATAATTTATGCATTTCGATGAAATGGCTAGATATATTGAGTTAGAAAGTTTCTGATATCGAGTTTTCATTATTGTCATGTTGTTTTAAACGAATAACTTTTTCGGTTCATTTGATTAATTGAAAATGCATCAACTGAGTTCAATTCTTACTCTTCGAATGTCAAAGCACATGCTATAAAAAAAGCTGTAAATGTGCCCAAAAATGACACCATTGTTTGCAAGTGTAGTCATACTAATCATAATCATAATAATCTTAACAAAAAAAGTAATAATCATAATAATCATACTAATATTAATAATACTCATAAGACTCATAATAATCATAATAGCCATGATAATAATCATAATAAAAATCATAATCATCATCATAATAATCTTTATATTAGTCATAATAATCATAATCATAATCATAATAATAATCATAATAGTCATAATAACCATAATCATCATATCAATCATAATAATAATCATAATAATAATCATAATCAAAAGAATTATAATCATGATAACAATCACAATTATTTGTTATCAAACCAATTATATACACGAAATGAAAATAGGTTTGAGAGGGCATCCTAAATATTTCAAACCAAATCGGACGAGGGATACCTCAGAAAGCAGAACAGTTGTGAAGTATATCTCAATCTTACATTGAACTCATATTTTTTTGGTAGTTTTCGAAAATTTTAAACAAGTGAAACTACCCCACACCTTGGAAAAACAACACTTCAATTAGCCTAATAATCCAACTTGTGTTTTTTTTTTGTTTACTGGCTACCAAAGCTTTCGTTCGGTGATATATTTTTCAAACTCAGTTTTTGACTTCATTTATTTAAGTCTTTAGGCAACCCCACCACCTGTAATTACCACTGATTTTCAGTCAAATGAAGATGAACGATTAGATATAGAATCAGTCAGTGACGCAATTGACAAAAAAGTAAAATACGTTTTGAAAATCAACTTTTAGTTTAAAAAATACTAGCGATGCCCCTTACCCAATGTAGAATCACTCTGGCTTTTGTTTGAATCGAGCTGCCAGGTAACATTTTTAGCTAATGTTGATATTTTTTGGTCGTTGCCTCCTTCCAAATCGAGTAACTTAATAGCAATTTCAGAGTTTTTTCTAATCAGATCTCTGTTTTTTTCCAGGAAGCCCAAACCCCAAAGAAGTTCCAGAATTGTCGATCGAATTTCACTGCCATATTCAAGTCTCAGGAATCTCGGAATATACTCGAGCACTTTCGATTGTCTTACAAGTAGCTCTTTGTTTTCGTCCTTTTCAGCGAAAATGGCCAGCGAGCGCCAAAACGAAAGAATTGTTTCGGGGTCGTTTTTGACAGAAGAGAGGCGCTTCAAAATAAAATCTACATAAGGTAACACTTTCCGGAACAGCTCAAGAGAGGCGACATCAGGTTTATCATCCCTTGAAACAAACCAATAGACAAAGTTCGGGTCACACTTCATTAAACAGAATCTACAGTAGTTTCTGCGATTACACTTGGGATGACAAGTGTCTTTCGTTTGATTGGATACTGAGTTTGGTTCTAATTAACACAAATGGAGCTTGGGGGCTTTAATGTTATTATATCAAACCACTTTCCCCAGCCAAAGTCGCACTTTTGTGTGCAGCCCTTGTGTGAACTTAACAATCTGTAGCTATATCCACTTTGCAATAGCTCAGATTTTAATTTTTGAAAAAAGGTTGTGGTGAACTAAAGGTTTATAGCGTTTGTGCGATTCAGTGAATTTAAATTTTATTTCAATTCTTTGTCAATGAATGGGAGCTCAATTCTTCTGAAAAATTAAGAATTTTCAGGGGTTTTACGCAATATTGTTGAGCAGCGTCCGCCTCCGAAAAAGAATATTTTGTTAGACTAATTAGTCTAAAGCACATCTTTCCAAAATATTTATGAAAGCAAACAAATTCTCCAAAAATAATTCAAGGCATCGTACATTTTATGAAGCAGCAATGACTTAGTTTTAAAGTTAATATATTGTTAGCAGCAGGGGCGGATCTAGGATTTTCTCGAGGGGGGGTGCGGATTTTCAAAAAATTTTCGAAAGTTTTGATGACCTCTTTTTTTAGGTCCATAAAATTGATTTTCTGAGCTCTCCTGAAGCAATAAAAAGACGCTGTTTTGGCCAAATTTTTAGCGCCGCTGGCGAATTTTTGAAAAAAAAACAGATGAAAAAAGCAGCTTTTGGGCACTTTTTCGAAAATTTTGACAAAAAATTTTTTTGGCGCGCACTCCCCCTCAAAATTAGTATATATTGGCGCCCTAGGCGCCTTTAGAAAAATTTTAGGGTCAGTCGGCCAAAAGGGATTTCTTAAAAAGTACTAAAGGGGTAGGTACCCTTTGGGTTGGCAAGATGTCGAATCCCTGAGGGAAAGGGGTGTCCGCCCCCCTAAATCCGCCCCTGGTTAGCATTATTTTTAGTGTTCAAATCTAGTACTCTGGAAAAACATTGTGGTGATTCTTTTCTTTCGATAATTGTTCCGACTTTCGTACCATTCCCGGTTAGCCCTCACGACTCAAAAAACCGTTCAGACCGAGAATGGTACGTACCGCACCCACCACCCAGTATTAAACCCGAACAAACCCGGCAAAGTTCGGCGCGTTTTAAGCGGTGCTTCTAAGTTTCACGGCAAATCACTGAATAATTCCCTTCTCGTCGGCCCCGATCTGCTTCAGAAGCTTTTAATGGTTTTAATGCGCTTCCGAGAGCGGAAATACGCAGTTTCCGCAGATATCGAAGGCATGTTCATGCAGGTCAGCTTACTAGAAAGCGATCAGCGTTCCTTGCGTTTTTTGTGTGGGGAGGATCCCACCTCAGATGTGAGTGTATTTCAAAATACAAGGCATATATTTGGAGTGAAAAATTCTCCGACATGTGCTAATTATGCTCATCGCCGAACAGCCGTCGACAACCAAGATCGTTACCCCGAAGCCGCTTACGCCGTGTCAAACAAATTTTACGTGATGACTACCTTGGGTCTGTGAAAAATCCAGAAACTGCTTTAACGTTAAGTAGCAGTTTAGTTGAACTGCTCAAGTTGGGCGAGTTTAATCTTACAAAATTTATAGGCAACGTTCCCAATTTGTCCTTGAAACTAAATCCCCCTAAGACCAGCGTTAACAACAGTCAGGAAATTCTTACCGCTGCGATTATTCCGAAAACTGCATCGCATGTTCTCGGTCTCAAATGGGACCACGTCACCGATACGTTGGTTGTGAGCAGAGGATTTAGCCGCAAACTCAAAGACTCTGTTACACAGCGATCGGTTCTTAGTTTTGTGTCCTCCGTGTTCGACCCCATAGGTCTTGTCGCCCCGTATACCGTACGCGCACGTTTGCTACTGAAAGATATCTGGAGGTTTAGTGGCCAACAGTGGGACGACCCACTGCCAAATGAGTTGTGCCGCAGATTCACTTAATGGTACTCCGGCTTGCCAGTTTTAGGGCAGCTCAAAATACCTCGTTGCTATTTTGGCTTCTCAGTAGATGAGGTTGAGCTGTTCTGTAGCATTCCTTCGAGCTCAGAAAAACGCCTATTCCAAATGTCAACAAGCGTTTGACTTCGGTAAAGCTAGAGTAACCCCGATGAAGATGCTTTCAATCCCGGAGTTGGAACTTCAAGCTGCGCTTCTTGCTAGTCGCCTGAAGGATGATATCGCGAAAGCTCTGTCACTGAGTATTTCCAAAGTGTTCATGTGGACTGACAGCACAACAGTCCTTCAGTGGTTGAACTCAACAAGTAAACAGCCCATGTTTGTAGCCAATCGAGTAGCCGAGATTCTGGAGTCAACATCAATTGACCAATGCTGCTGATTCCCTCAAGCAAAGCAGTTGGGTAAACGGCCCTTCCTTTTTGAAACTCTCTGATGGGCCTTTCAATCCAAATAGGGAAGTTACTGAGAAAATTCGACTGGATGGTCCGGTCTACGATCTGAATGAGGGTTTAGAGGTCTCTTCCACTTTTCCGTGCACTGCAGTTTTGACTGACTTTGCCTTCTCTTGGGAAGAGTATAGCTCGTTCTCCAGGATAAAGCGGCTGGTCGCATATATGTTGAGACTCTCACCTAAGCATAGACATTTGAGATCGCCAGATAAGGCCATAATTGATCCAACAGAATTTGTCATTGCAGAAGGAAGAAAAACTTTTGCAACTTTCGCAGATAGAGTCATTCCCAGCTGAAAGTAAACAATTAGCAGCTGGAAAATATGTGAAAACATCGAGCCGTGTACCATCGTATTCGCCTTTTTACGGACCGAACGGTTTAATTTGATCTACCGTATCCAACGTCTCTCCGCAACCGCATTCGAAACTCGCCATCCAAAAAATATTGGATAGCCCCCATCGCCTAATCCGATTGCTTCTCCGTTTTTATCACCTTCATTCTGTCATCCATCAGCAATTTGTTGTACTACGCTTGAGATCTGCACTAAAAGCTATTGAAACACATTGTGTATGCTGTAAAAAGCGAAAAGCAAAGATATCTGGAGGTTTAGTGGCCAACAGTGGGACGACCCACTGCCAAATGAGTTGTGCCGCAGATTCACTTAATGGTACTCCGGCTTGCCAGTTTTAGGGCAGCTCAAAATACCTCGTTGCTATTTTGGCTTCTCAGTAGATGAGGTTGAGCTGTTCTGTAGCATTCCTTCGAGCTCAGAAAAACGCCTATTCCAAATGTCAACAAGCGTTTGACTTCGGTAAAGCTAGAGTAACCCCGATGAAGATGCTTTCAATCCCGGAGTTGGAACTTCAAGCTGCGCTTCTTGCTAGTCGCCTGAAGGATGATATCGCGAAAGCTCTGTCACTGAGTATTTCCAAAGTGTTCATGTGGACTGACAGCACAACAGTCCTTCAGTGGTTGAACTCAACAAGTAAACAGCCCATGTTTGTAGCCAATCGAGTAGCCGAGATTCTGGAGTCAACATCAATTGACCAATGCTGCTGATTCCCTCAAGCAAAGCAGTTGGGTAAACGGCCCTTCCTTTTTGAAACTCTCTGATGGGCCTTTCAATCCAAATAGGGAAGTTACTGAGAAAATTCGACTGGATGGTCCGGTCTACGATCTGAATGAGGGTTTAGAGGTCTCTTCCACTTTTCCGTGCACTGCAGTTTTGACTGACTTTGCCTTCTCTTGGGAAGAGTATAGCTCGTTCTCCAGGATAAAGCGGCTGGTCGCATATATGTTGAGACTCTCACCTAAGCATAGACATTTGAGATCGCCAGATAAGGCCATAATTGATCCAACAGAATTTGTCATTGCAGAAGGAAGAAAAACTTTTGCAACTTTCGCAGATAGAGTCATTCCCAGCTGAAAGTAAACAATTAGCAGCTGGAAAATATGTGAAAACATCGAGCCGTGTACCATCGTATTCGCCTTTTTACGGACCGAACGGTTTAATTTGATCTACCGTATCCAGCGTCTCTCCGCAACCGCATTCGAAACTCGCCATCCAAAAAATATTGGATAGCCCCCATCGCCTAATCCGATTGCTTCTCCGTTTTTATCACCTTCATTCTGTCATCCATCAGCAATTTGTTGTACTACGCTTGAGATCTGCACTAAAAGCTATTGAAACACATTGTGTATGCTGTAAAAAGCGAAAAGCAAAGATATCTGGAGGTTTAGTGGCCAACAGTGGGACGACCCACTGCCAAATGAGTTGTGCCGCAGATTCACTTAATGGTACTCCGGCTTGCCAGTTTTAGGGCAGCTCAAAATACCTCGTTGCTATTTTGGCTTCTCAGTAGATGAGGTTGAGCTGTTCTGTAGCATTCCTTCGAGCTCAGAAAAACGCCTATTCCAAATGTCAACAAGCGTTTGACTTCGGTAAAGCTAGAGTAACCCCGATGAAGATGCTTTCAATCCCGGAGTTGGAACTTCAAGCTGCGCTTCTTGCTAGTCGCCTGAAGGATGATATCGCGAAAGCTCTGTCACTGAGTATTTCCAAAGTGTTCATGTGGACTGACAGCACAACAGTCCTTCAGTGGTTGAACTCAACAAGTAAACAGCCCATGTTTGTAGCCAATCGAGTAGCCGAGATTCTGGAGTCAACATCAATTGACCAATGCTGCTGATTCCCTCAAGCAAAGCAGTTGGGTAAACGGCCCTTCCTTTTTGAAACTCTCTGATGGGCCTTTCAATCCAAATAGGGAAGTTACTGAGAAAATTCGACTGGATGGTCCGGTCTACGATCTGAATGAGGGTTTAGAGGTCTCTTCCACTTTTCCGTGCACTGCAGTTTTGACTGACTTTGCCTTCTCTTGGGAAGAGTATAGCTCGTTCTCCAGGATAAAGCGGCTGGTCGCATATATGTTGAGACTCTCACCTAAGCATAGACATTTGAGATCGCCAGATAAGGCCATAATTGATCCAACAGAATTTGTCATTGCAGAAGGAAGAAAAACTTTTGCAACTTTCGCAGATAGAGTCATTCCCAGCTGAAAGTAAACAATTAGCAGCTGGAAAATATGTGAAAACATCGAGCCGTGTACCATCGTATTCGCCTTTTTACGGACCGAACGGTTTAATTTGATCTACCGTATCCAACGTCTCTCCGCAACCGCATTCGAAACTCGCCATCCAAAAAATATTGGATAGCCCCCATCGCCTAATCCGATTGCTTCTCCGTTTTTATCACCTTCATTCTGTCATCCATCAGCAATTTGTTGTACTACGCTTGAGATCTGCACTAAAAGCTATTGAAACACATTGTGTATGCTGTAAAAAGCGAAAAGCAAAAACCGTTACTCCAATGATGTCTGACCTTCCCGTAGAGCGTCTAGGTTACCGCCAGCCACCGTTCTCGAACTGCGGCGTCGATTATTTTGGACCGTTTGATGTAACCATTCGTCTATGTTCCGAGAAACGCTAGGGTTTTCTATCTACTTGCTTAACGACTCGCGCAATTCACATTGAGTTGGTTCCATCCATAGACACAAGTTCATGTGTGATGGCTATCGAGTGCTTTACTTCTAGGCGAGGAACACCCTCAATATCATGGTCGGACAACGGAACTAACTTTCTAGGAGCCGAAAAAGAGCTTCTTCTGTGCATCAAAAATTGTAACGCTGAAGCTCCACTGTCGCTCGTACACAAAAGCATTAAGGTGAATTATAATCCGCCAAATGCACCACAACAAGGTGGAGCATGGGAGCGAAAAGTACGCAGTTGTAAGCGCGTGTTTTATGCAATCTTAAGGTCAGGAAATCACGTTCCTAGTTGAAGGTTCACTAAACGCCCATCCGCTCACTCCCGTTACTGACGACCCAGATAGTCTTGAGGATTTGACTCCGAATCATTTCCTTTTAGGTCAGAACGTTTCCGTCTCTAAGGTTGAGTGAGAACTATTCTCAATCTAAACGCTATGCCCGTGCGCAGTTGTACGCAAACGCAATTTGGCAGCGATGGTTAAGTGAGTACGTCCCGACACTCAATAGAAGAGTTAAGTGGCATGCTCCTCCTAAAATTTCTTTGAAAACGGGAGATTTGGTGTGGTTAGTTGAAACCACTAGCCCTAGGGGCCACTGCCCACTAGCACGCATAATGTCGCTAAACCACGGCAAAGACAACACCGCACGCTCCGCAAACCTAGGGACCGTTTCCGGAAACTACACTCGGCCGCTCGTTAAGCTCGTTCCAGTTCTCGCTCCTTCGGGGGTGGAGGATCTTAATGCTACATAGCATTAAAATTGAAAGTATGAAAGCTAGTATAGTATAAAGCTAGTATAGTCGCTTGGCAATACCAGCTGTATAGCCCAGCGTATACATAGTGCGTTCCGAGGAGTTCGGCGTGGGTTCGATTCTCACCTAAGTCATTTCATTTGAGAATCCTATTTGAGCCGAACCTGACAGAACATAAAATGCTAATATTTTAATCGGTTCAAAATTGTTTGCAATTGAGTTTCTGTTAGTTCAACCGTGTGAAATAACTTTGGTTTACAGAAAAAATCATAAATCAGCGCATGATCAACCCCACTATTTTGGCTTGATACGTTTAATGTAGTCACAAAATTTCGACCATATTTCGTGAATTTAAAACCGATTCTCTTTTGTTTTTACTGTATGAATTGAGCAGAATCTAACGGAATATTTGTGCTCGGGGTGGGTTTTTTTTTCTTCAGACAAACTTCGACTTTGTGACTAGCCAATATTGGCGTAATTTTTTTATCAATCAAAATGTATTGTTGTCCTGACCTTAAATTTGAGAAAAAAAAACATTTTACCTGTGATTATATTTCGTGAAGTTATCGGGTTTGAAGATATAATTTGGGACAATTAACGCACGCTATATTTTGCGCTATTAACGCGTCTGCGGAAATTTAATCTGTCTTAGAAATCGTTCCAAATTGGTTTAACGAAGCTTATTTTTAATAATTGATTCAAAATAAGATCAGATTGGCAGAAAAATGCTTCTTAAAACTAAGTTAACACTCCCTGAATGTGTTTGCTCATAGAAATATGCCACCCGACAGGCTGATGCAACGACCCCTCAAAGATTCAAACCCTTTTAGGGGTTAGATTTCACCCCTCATACCCCTTTGGTACTAATTTAAGACTTCCATTTTTGATTAACCAATCATAATTTTTCAAAAGGCGCTTTTGGCACCATTATATACTTATTTTTAGGAGGAGCTCGCGCTGAAAATAAACGCAAAAAGCAATCTTTTTGGCTTTTTTTCATAAATTTGTCTGCTGCGCAGAAATTTTGACCAAAATAGGGTCATTTTAGGTCATTTGGGAGAGCTCAAAAAATCAATTTGGTCGACCTAAAAAAAGTTGACGAATATTTTCAAAAACATGCAACCCCCCTATCGAGAAAATCCTAAATCCGCACTTGGGTTGTTGCTTTCTTGGCACTCTCCTAAGCCGAACTATGTTATAAACGCACAGTTGCCTGCAATTTTCAGTTTCAGTTGTAAATATCTGACTTGAGAATAAAATTGCAGTTATAGAAGCTAAATAGGTTAACTTACACTACTTGCCAGTCCTGCTGGTCATATGAGCATGTTGTGGCCAGGATAGAAAGCGTGAACACATTGACCTTCACACTCTCACTTTTGAGCAAACTCTCCACGTGTTCAAACTCGACTGCAGTCCGCAAAATTGTCTTCAGATTGCAGTTCCCTTTCAATTCGTCCTCCAGTAATTTCAACACGTCTGTAGTGTTGGCTTCGTTTTCGTAGAAGTAAGGATTTTCCGAAATGAACAATTCAAGTCGGACCAGAATTGCAGATATTGAAGTTTTCTGGTCGACCGTAGAGCGTGCGTCAGACAAGCACCGTATCTCCTGGCGTATTTCGGTCAAAACTGAGCTTGCCATCGCACTCGTGCAAAACTGGTTACAAACTGAAAGCAATACTTCAAATCTATTGTGCTTAACTTTCGACCATGAAGTAGTTTTCATTCACCTCTTTTTTGCTTGCCTGTTTAACTGTAGATAAAATTGATGCCAGATGCCAAACTATAGATGTTCAAACAACTTTGACGGGTTTCTGCATCAGCTTTATGCATCAGTAAATTTATTAGAAAAGTCGGTAAATTATGCAAGAAATGATATCCGAAAATGAGTATAACATACCACTGTATCGTATGTATTTTCTATAAAATTGCTACAGGGGCGGATCTAGGATTTTCTCGAGAGGGGGAGGATTTTAAAAAAATTTTCAAAAATTTTGACGAACTTTATTTTTTTTTTTAGGTCGACCAAATCGATTTTCCGAGCTCTCCTAAAGCAGTATAAAATCGCTTGTTTTGGCGAAATTTGCTGCGCCGCAGGCAAATTTTTGAAAAAAAAACAGGTAAAAAAGCCATTTTTGGGCTCTTTTTGGAAAATTTGGGCTCTTTTTGGAATTTTCTGCGCCCCTGAATTGCTACAATATTCATTTACATGCAATATTGAAACATAGATTTTTTCATAGATGTAGCAACTTGTCTAACAGAGTCACTCTCAAACCTGCACTTTCGTCAAGCAGCAGGCATCATTTTACAAGTACTCCAATTTGATGTAATTTCCGTTTTTGAGTTTTTTATAATTGGCTGTAAAACTTTTGGTTTCCGCAAAATTGGGGCTCAATGACCATATACTCAGTCATTTGCTGACGGAAAGGTTTTGCGTTTGGGTCTATTGCGAGGGTACGAAATAATTTTTCCTACTTTTTCAGAAAACAAACAAACTACTAACAAAATTCGATTTAGCGGCTTTCGTCTCATTTTTTTTTGATAACAGTTAGTTTTTGATGCTAAACTTGAATTGTATCACAAGTCGCACCACCAGGCTCTTTTTCGCTTCTGTGTGAAATATTGTTATTAAACGAAAAAGCTCTTTCCCTGAAGTCATAAAAAAAACGAAATTGAAATATGCAGTTATTCTTCTAAACACAATCACCTTCACGAGCGAGGTAACAACTTCCTGAAAACAACTGTTATTTCAAGATTTAAACTTTTTGGAAAAATATGACAAAAAATAATTTAATTGATTTCTCTTCAAAGTAAAAGCCACCAAAACCAAAGTTAAACAATCCTTTCAAGCCAATACAAGCCAAAACATGTCTTCCACTGCAAAACAATCAAAGTGAGAGGCAACAATTTAAATAATTCAGTCACCTGTTTTTGGTTTGTTTTTATTCTGATTCATTTTTTGAAAACCCCTGTCGTCGATTCACTAATGATGTACGCGATCGTAGATTTTTTCCACTCATCAAAGAAAATGATATCAATTTGAGAAAAAATTTATTTAAAAATTTTTCTCAAATAATGTAATCGGAAAATTCTGTGCTACTTCCTCAGCAACTGGCTATCCTTTCAGGTTGTAGCATCAATTGTTGATAAATTTTTTTACTTTGAAACTGAATTTTAATCTTAAAATGTTTTTTCGAGTTATCTTAATTTAATATTTTATTTTAGGTTGTTTTAATTTTCATCAAGGCTTTTCTTGAATTATTTAATTTAAATTTTTGAGGTATCACTCAATTTTTTATTCATCACCATACCTGGTGGATTTTCTGTAGAAGATCTCAAGTTCTTCAATTTTACATAATTTGAATGTCAGATTTGATATTGTTTTTTTTGTAGATTTATTGTGCAAAAATTCCAGATTTGAAAATTGGATCTAAATTAGAAATTTTCAGATCTAAATTAACTCTGAAAAAAAAGTTTCGGATCTGAAATTCGATGTGAGAAACTTTTTTGTTAAATTATAATATATTAAGTTCGAACAAATAATTGATTTTAGTTTTTTTTTGCTGTTTTTGCAATACACAGTTATTTAGATTAGTAAGTGGTGGAAAAAAACTTTCGAGAATAGTTTAACAAACAGTTTTTTTTTTCAACTGAATTTTCTGTTCATTTTTTAAATTTCTTTCAAATTGTTCGAAAACCTAAAAAAAAATTTAATTTTCATACGCCACATGCATTTGCGATGTTATCTCACGTTTTGGGAAACATATTTCAACAGTCTCCTATTTGGGATTTTGCTCAGTACCTGCTAGCACACACTATAAAGCACAGAAGAGTCTAAAATAGCAAAAAATGTATCTTAGAATCATTTAATTCTTCAGATAACAAATAAACAGGGAAATTAAAATGTCTGATCTGAAATTTAGATCTGAAACTGATTTTCTCAGTTATGAAATAACCACGAAAAGCAAAACTTCAGATCTGAAAAATTGATCTGAAAAAGAGTATCAGATCTGAATTAGAACATTTACTAGGTACTGGCACTTAAGTTTTTTTAATGTACCCATTGGCTTCAATTAATACTCACACGATCAAATATGATCCAGGACTAACCAATTTGACTCATCAAAGTTTGACCTAGGATTACTTCACTAACGAATCTCAGTTAAGCTAAACACTCGAGGCTAAAAACAGCTCAGAATTAGGAAATCATACAATAGTTTCTGAAGAATTAAGCGTACTCTAGTTATTCCTGAACCTAGTAGATTGATTCACAATTCATGGACACTTGATCCCAAATAAACGCACCCAAAGTAAAAGTAACTTAAGGTACTCTAAAAATTTTTTTGAATTAGTTAGACTTTCAAAGACTTTTGTCTCAGAGTTGGAAAAAAGCAATTCACTGTATGTCCACTCCTTGTATTATTCCGCAAACATAGTACGTCTAAAAACTTAAAAGTTTCTTTCGATCAATCATACAATTTCTCCAAAAATCAATTTCGGAGGGACGAAATACCGTTTTTCAGAAATTGACTTCGACGGAAAATAAATTGATCTAATTAGTCAAAAAATCAGTTGATACCAAATTATGATTAATGTTTTACTCTATTGACCGGATAAATAAGCTATTTACTAAAAAAATTCTCCAGCAGTATTTTCAGCACTTGTTTGAAATGGATATTTTATGCGGAATTAGTTTATGAAACTGATACGTGCTTGGATAGGACACTCTACGGTAGATCATTAAGAATGGAGATTGTACGGTTGATCAACTTTAATTCAATCCCTCAAACCAGGTTAGAACATTAAAAGTCTCATTAGTCACACTAATTTGCACCGCAACGGACCTACTAAGAGTATCAGATGATAACATTGTATACACCAACAATAAAACTCACATCACTGGAATACTCACATCAAAGTCAACAGATGTAATATTCAAGTTGTTCGCGGCTCTATACCTAACAAGACTGCGCGTATCAGGGCAAAGCCCTGAATATTCCGACTACATTTTAAGATATTTGGACTAATGTTCACATTGAGAGAAATGATGAACTTTGGGAAAAAATGAATAAACTTCAAATATTTTTTGGTTTTTTTTAAAGTCGTCTACCGAATTGCTATCAAATTTATACATTTTGTACACATTATGTTTTTGCAGTGAAAATGGATTTAAATCCATTTTATTTCAATTTTGTTTTCTGAGCTCAACATGGAAATCGGTTAAATTGACAATATTTTAGACCGCGAAAATTCATTATAATCAATTTCTTTTCATTTTTCTTTAATGCTGGATCCGATCAAAACGAACAAAATTTGGAAATCCAAACTTGGCTTTTTTATTTATCAAAAATTACACTGAAACTACTTTGTTAATTCATGAGAAAATTATATCAAAAGAAGTCTCTTACACAACTCAACAAGTTTCTAGGAAGATTAAATCTCCAAAAACCTTTATAAGAGAAAATATTTAAGTATTTTTGCTTCATAGTCACAAAATGTTATTTTTACTGTATAACACCCAAAATTTTTGCTTAGAAGCAAAGTTTAAACAATTTGCGCAAATTTTTGAGATTGAGCCATTGTAAAAATTTGTTGGGCGTGTTAGAGGCTTCTTCTGCTATAATTTTCTTATCAATTAACAAAGTAGTTTCAATGTGATTCTTGATTAATAAAAAATGCCAAAATGACCCTTTTTGTGGTAAAATTTACCATTTTTTGTGTCACTTTGTGTCTAATTTTAACCCAATTTGAGAAAACGCGTTTATAATTTCAAATGTTGATAGATTTTTCCGGTTAATTTAAATCAGCACTCTAAAAAGTGATAATTTTTGCATATAGCAAAGTTTCAACTATACCAAATTTCATGCCTCAATTCGATTTGGAACGAATTCTAAAATGGATCCACGCGTTAATAGCCAGGATACTGCTAGCAGCAGAGTTGGCAGAATTCGGTTTATTGAGCAGAAGACTTTATAGAACATCAAATATAGCAGAATTTAAATCATTAAGCAGAATTTATCGGTAGTTCTCAAAAATCTTTAAATGAACATGAAATGAATGTGGCAATTCCATTTCTCAGATATTTCAAATACGCATCTATGCGCTACTTGACTAAATTTTTCACGAAACTACTCCTTTTATCAAAAATACAAAAAAAACACATCTATCTACTACCCTACTAATCGCTACTAGTTTTTTTGTATAGTCTCGTGACAAAACTAGTTTAGATTTTTGGCAATCTGATTCGTACCCGCTGTACTACCTGGCAGTTTTTCTTCAGCAACATAGACAAACTAAGTGCTTACTGTTAAAATTAACCACATAATGCACTTTTGTTTTTATTAAGGACCACTGCAATTTTAAGGGACCGAACAAGAAAACTAGTACCTACTAATTTACTAATTTGCTTCCTGAAAGTGCACTGCTTATTTTTCAAATGGAAATTCGAATCTCGACTAATGATGAAAGCAGTTTTTTTTTGTAATAAACGAATGATTAAAGAATATTTTCAGCATAAATTCTATAGCGCATTAATTTTCCCAAACTGGTCCGAGGCCATCTTTAAACCCGCGGCGATCCAAGGCCATCTTTAAACTGGTCCGAGGCCATCTTTAAACTTTACTCTAACTCACAAGTGAAATAACTTTTTAAATTTGACTACAGGACAACAATATCGTTCGAATCATATAAAAATATTTCGTCAAATATTGCCAATAAAATAGTCGAAATTTGTCTGGAGAAAAAACCACCCGAGCACAAAAATTGCACAAAATCGGAACAATAAAAACACCAAATTGAACTGAGAGAAAACTCACTTTTTACAAAAAAGTTGTATTTTCAAACGTCTATCCTAAATAGATGTTCCGAACTTTGAATATGTTCCTCAGAGTTCACCAACCGAAGAATCATGGCAAACAACTATGATCGTTTCTGATGTTTCTCCAAAAATGATGTTTCACCGCAGATCAGTTTTAAGAAAGAGTTTCTCTGGGGCACGTGTTTGTGTTTTTTCAAAGAAGTACAATTGGATTTTTCTTGTTTCCCAGGTTTTTGCTTCGAAACAGCGAATGCTGTCTGAATTGCATCTTCTAAAATGATACGCTGTGCCTCACTTTTTTTCGTACCATCTTAATACATGCAATTTCATCAATTCAACGCAAAAGTGAGCAAAACTGAACAAACTGAACTAAAACTGAGCAAAAACTGAACAAACTGATCTCGCGTGAGTGCATGTAAACAGAACCATTTGCGCGCAGTTCGTGACATTTTTCAACAAAAACCTAAGAGTACGAAAAAATTTGGCCAATTTTTGTCTTTAAACAAGTGTTTACCATGTATTAAGATGGTACGAAAATTATGACGCGGAGTGTAGTACATGGTATGTGGGTTTCGCCCGAGGCAAAGCGCTTTCCCATACCTATTCGGTACAAGTGAACATAGCAGACTAAAGAGGAGACGAACCTGTTCTAAGAATGACGGCAAGTGGTTAAAGACACAGTGAGTTAGGACCGATGTGGTTAACTCATAGAGTAATTTCGGATAGGGTACACCGTCTGCTCGTCACGCTATCTTATTTTCGGCCGGATAGATTCGTGCAACTTCTTAGTCTAATACCGATCCTAATCTTACTCTTATACTATCTAGTCTCAGGTTGTTTAACTAGTCTCTGCTAGGCTCAATAGATCTAGGGTATACTGGTTTATTGCGGTTGCTGAAGTGCTCGGGAGAGTCCAACTAATTTCTAAGTTAAATTCAAATCTCTCTGGTGCTGAAATTACAAGTAATTTCAGCACTTACAAATAAGTGGGTTGTTAGTTAGATGGATCATGATTGGTTAATATTAAATACTTTACATTGGTAAAATATCTAATTTATCCAATCATAAAATGTAGTTTAGATCAGGTTCCACCCATCCGGGTTTTACAGAGTTTTTTAGAATAGTTCTTCTGCAATTCGAAGGATGGATGATGGACGTTGGTGTTTGGCGAACATCTTATTTCTTCTGTTTCCTTTTTATTAAAGAAGTTCCAGGAAGCTGGAGTTAGAGACATAAGACGTTGTGTCTTCTAGTGACAACGACTAAGTCTTTGCAACAAACTCAAATCTGATTTCAGAATGGTTTGCTATGTCAGGTTTTTCTGTTCTGCGTGGAGATTGTGCGTGGAGGGGATGCCTGGTTACTCGGATCTGTACGTATACTTGAACATCGAGGTGGTCATTGGTCTAGTTCAATGAAGTCCTTTTCTGCGAAGTCAAGTCGTACTCTAAATCCTTTGAGTTGTGATTGTGAGTGGCATATCGATTGTGGTTGGTCATTCTCTCTCGAGTGTAGTGGGGTCGTTTTGTCTTTAGATGTTCGTCCTTGGTGTTGTATTCTGATCTATGTATTGCATAATGTAATTTACATTTTATAAAACATTTATTAGTTTAATATTTTTTAATTATGATTTTAGTTAGTTGTTTTCACAAAAGCTTTTTGTTTTAGTTCGGTTATTTTGAAGAGTTACTCACACTTGAGTAGCTCTTATTAAAAATAGAGGTGTGGTCACAAAGCGTGGATGTAGCGCGGTGGGTTAGGCCGGCTATAGAGCATGCTCAGGACGTCCTTCCTGGTGGGTTAGGCCAGGAGTGGGAGTATGATTTCATGCGGTTTTTGTGAGGGGTCCTGTTATGTGTCAACGTTTTATGTTGGGTTTGTTGTGGTTTTTCTTATGTCTTGTTGGTTATGTCCTTTTTTCAAAAAGCAAATTGTTCGTGGTATGGGTTTGTCTTTCGACTTTTTTGTGTTTTATTATTTCTTTCTTAGACTTTATAATAGTCTTCAAAAGAATAAATTATCCAGTTTTAAACTGGGTTAATTCGGTTTGGGTACCGTTGGTTTCCTTTTCTTAGTCATGCTGTTATGCTATGTGTTGTGGTGTTTAGTAAGCTGCATTGGTTAGTTTTGTTTAGTATATAATTCCTTTCCAACCGGGTTAAAGGAAAGTTTGAAACGTGTTAGAGTGTTAGAGTTATCGAGTGTGAAAGCTTGAAACTGAAATTCATTATTTTAAACAATTCTTCGTGGGCGAGCTGTGCGAGTGTGGATAGAATTCTTATGCGAGTGAATGAAAATATTAAAAGGTTAGTACTGCAATTGCATTTTATTAATTTACTGCATAGAATTTGGAAATTTACTGCTAGTTATGGGGGAATTTTAAGTTACAAATTTTCATTATAATTAGATTTACTGCTTGTGGGGGAAATTTTAGAAATGAATTTACTGCATGGGTATTAAATTTATAAATTTATAAGTGTAAGAGATTAATAGAATTGTTGAAGTCTGTTTGATGAAATTTGCGATCTTTATTTGTTTTTTGTGGTTTTTGTAGGTGATCGTCGGATGAAGGCTAAAAATCTAAGGAAAACATGGATAAAGTATGGTGAGTTTTTTAATATTTCAATTAGTTAGTTATATTCATTTAATTCATACTTACCTGTTAGTCGTCGGGGGAAAAACCGTGGGGGAAGATGTCGTGAATTAGTTCTGAAGTTGTTAGTAGTTTAGCTAAGATGCGGATGATATTTTTAGTTTGAAGCAGTGGCCAAAGCAATTGAAGTGCCTTAATAGTGGTTAGTTCTTCAGTGCCAACTGCAAACTCATAAGGTGTGTTTTGGATTAGATTATATAATTTGTGATTGAATTTAGTGTTGTGGATGAATTCTAAAATTGGGATTTCTATGGGTTGTACAAACTCGTGCGGGATAAGGAAGGGTCGGGATTCTTCGGCGTTGAAGGTCTTGGTGATGGGACAGAAGATGTACATTTGGGTTATGGGGTCATAATTACGAAGAATACCATGAAGGTTAGTATCTTTAATGCAATATGTGAAATTTAGGAAAAATGGTGAAGTGTATTTGGAATTAATGAATTGAAAACGATGGTGTGGTTGTCTAGAGGGTGTGTGTAGGTCAAAGTGATTTTGGATGAAGCGATAATAACTATATGTGTGGGTTTGTTTAGTGCGCAACATAATATCGTGTGAGCAGTGTAAATCTCTTTCGTGTGGTGCAAGGAAATGAAAGGTTAGTGAAAATATTTGGAAGCGTTCTTTGAAACTTTCGTATGCTTGTGTGTCTATTAGTGCTTCTGAAATAATGTGATCAAACTTTCGGTCGAAGATGTTTAGTGTAAATATATATGGTGTCTTGATGAAAAATTTCTCAGTAATTTGTGGATTAGCGAAGCGATCGTCGTCTAAGAATTGATCTTGGTTAGCTCTGATGATGTTGTGATCATAGTATTCGAGTGTATATTCGTTAGCTCTAGGTGCAGTGTGTGTCTTTAGTGATTTTTTATATCCAACGTAAGTAAATTGTCTAGCGGTTAGTGGTGTAGTGAGTCGATATAGCATGTCCGTATTTCGCTCTATATCGATGTGAGTGTTAGATAAAGGTAAGCAAAGAGGGTTAGTAAAATGATAATATGAGGTCCAAGAGAGAGTGGGCATTAAAACGTATTCATCTACAAAGTTGCGTGTTTCGTTAGTGTCGTGGGGGGTGTTTAAGGTGTATTGTGGAAATGAGGGTAAGGTGATGGCTAAAAATTCTTTTGTGTTAGTATGCTTGGGATGGTTGATGTATTCACGGGCTGTTCCTGGTTTTGCTGGGAAAGGATGGATGGGGAACTTTCTTTTAAAAGTGCGGTAAGCTCTATTAGTGTTGAGTGAAGATTCAGTTGATGTGGATGATGGTGCTAATGATTCAGTATAATTTGAAGAGGGTGTAGGGGTAGGGGGGTTGGATGAATTTATTGTGGAGGAGATTTGGTTTATGGTTGGGGTATTAAGGTGGTAGGGTTGTTGTTGAAGGGTAATAAAATTATCTAGCTCTGGGGAGATTCGGGGGGTGTCTGGAGAATGAGATGATTGGTCAGAATGGTATGAGGAGTAGGTTGGGGTAACTTGGGAAGCATAAGAGGGTGTGGGAGTGATTGGGTCAGGGTTGTTGGATAATATGGGTTGAAAAGGGGGTTGAGAAAAATTAGAAGAGTCATGAAAATTATTGGATGGGGATGGTTCTGAGTCGGCAAATTCATCGGGGGTTTCAATATTCGGGTTATTGAGTTGTGAGATGGAATATAAAACTGAGATGTGTGAATTAGTGTCGGAATTCATGCCTGATGTTACATTACTAGATGGAAAATCGGGTGGCGGAAAAGCAAAAAGTGGTATTATTGGGATTGGAGAGGTAAGATTGGTTGGGTGGGAATTTGATCGGTGTAGTGATCCAAGTTGGCGGCTCATCGTGGGCTAAAAAACTGATTATTTTGAGACTGAAAAGCGGTGGTACGGGGTTGTTCAATAATTTGTTCATAAGTATTATCATCTTGTGACTGGTGTGTCATTATATGTTGGATGGGACTTTGTGATGTGGTGAGTCGAAAATTTGGATTATGTGTGATGGCTAAATTTCGAAAATTTCGTGGGACTAGGGATAGTGGATGGTTATTTGGTAGGGGTGGTAATTGTGGTGCCGTTGGCGTTATGTCTACATTGTTATGTTCTTCGTCGTATGTATTTTGTCGTGTTGCTATTTTGTGTTATATTCTTTTATTTGTGCGTCTAAAAGAATTTTGTTTATAGATGTAGAAAAGATTCCAAAAAATCCTGCAAAGAGTATGCGTGCTACGCTTGCTTGTCTGTTTACTTGTGTGTGTATAGCACATGTGTTGTAGATTCCTTTTAAAAGTGAGAAAAGAAATCCAATAAAGTTAAACATTGCGTATAAAATAGTCAATTTTTCTAAGATGTAATAGGGCCATCCTAGAAAATCGAGGATCTCATTTTTGAGTGTAACAAAGCTAAAAATGTTAATTGGTGATATATCTTGGGGACGGTATTTTTCACCGTTTAGATATATATAATCTTTAATGTCTTTAAAATATCCGCTATAGTCTTGCGTGTAGATATCGGCAAATCCTGCGGTTTCTGCAAGTTTGCGTAAATTTTGGTCTATTGATTGTCTTTGTATAGTGTCCATTTGTGTTAATAATTCTTGGAATTGTTGTGTTCTAATGTGATGTTGAATATCTGATTTTGAATAGATTCCTATTGATTGTAAGTCTATATTTGGGTTTCGAGCAATAGCGCGAATGCTTTCTGGTGAAAATTTTTTGAGTGATTGCATTAATGTGGGATATGGAGTGAGAAGATAATATTTATTTTCATCAGGTCTTAGTTGTACTACATTGTGGCTGTTTTCTGATCCACATGGGACTGCGGTATCCCAGAAATAGGTTCTTCGTGAAAGTGTGTCAACGAAATGTACTTTATTCTTATAAAAGATAGGGATTCTTTTATAACATCGTTTATCTTCAAAAACGTATAGTGGTGATACTTTTTTAGTACAAGTATAAAACCATAAGATGTTTCCTTCATAGTCTAAAAAATTTGATCTATTTCCAGATAATAAGTATCCTGCATAGGGTATTTTTAATACTGCTAGTGCAAGTGATTGT